GAAAATCTAAATAAAGATATAGGAATTCCTGACCAAACCAACAACTCATGACCATAAATTATTTTACTTCTCCATCCCTGCCTCTTTTTTTAATCCATGTTTCTTCAACATGAGTCATATCACTTAATCACTTAATCACTTAACTTCTCATTAGTTGTCGATTTGCTCGAGCGGGCGCCAGTAACGTCTCCATTTGTCCCTGTCGCGTGCTAGTGTAGCCTGAATAGTGTTCTCATCTTGCTTGCGTAGGGCCCAGGTCTCTGAGGCATATGTTAATGCAGGAAGAACAGTGGAATCAAAGAGATGTGCCCGGAGCCGGAGGTTCTTCATCCTCTTAGCTATTTCTTCGATGTTCTTGAAGGCGTTCCAAGCCGCTCTCTTCCTCCTGTGAAGCTCGGGTGCCAGATCATTTGTCATGTTGACCTCTCAACCTAGGTACACATAGCTGTTGCATTCGGAGATGGTCATTCCGTTGAGAGCGAATGGGGCGTCAGGAACGAGGCTGTTTCTCATAAACATTATTTTTGTAAGATTCAGCTGTAGTCCTACCTTTCCACACTCACGGTCAAAGTCGGCCAGCATTTGTGCCGCTTGGCTGATGTTTGGTGTTATTAAAACAATGTCATCAGCAAAACGGAGGTGGTGTAGTTGCCGAACATCTATCTTCACTCCCATTCCTTCCCATTCCAGTCGTCGCATGATGTTCTCGAGGGTGGCACTGAAGAGTTTCGGTGAAATGGTATCACCCTGCCGCACCCCTCTCTTGACATCAACGATCACTTCTTTGTAGAATGGTGAGATCCTGGTAGTGAATCCGCAATACAGCTCACGGAGGATCCTGATGTATTGGGCTTGAATGCCCTGATTGGCTAGGGCTTCAATGACCGCTTCTGTCTCAACAGAATCAAAGACCTTCTTTAAATCAATGAACGTTAAACAGAGCGGCATCTTGAACTCCCGAGAAACCTCAATGAGCTTGGTTATCGTGTGGATATGATCGGTGGTGCTGAATCCTTTGCGGAACCCGGCTTGCTCGCATGGTTGTCCTTCATCTAGTGTTCTGCCAATCCTATTTAGGATGACTCGAGTGAACAACTTGTAGATGACAGACAATAGGCAGATCGGGCGATAGTTGCCAATGTCATGGATGTCTCCCTTCTTGAACAGTAGTACGGTCCTGCTGGTTTTCCATTGGGATGGAACCTTGCATTCAGACAGGTAGCGAGTGAAGAGCCGAGCAGGTGTATTGATGAGTACTGACGGCAGGTTCTTCAGGTGTTCAGGTCTGACCTTGTATGGCCGGGTGCTGTTTGTTTCTTTACCGACGAAATGGCGTGTCGGATTTCGGAAGGGAGAACGTTGGGAACGACATATCCATCCTGTGGAATTTGGTATGTCAGAAAGTGGACATGGCTATCGAAGAGATTTGAGTAGAAGTCATGGATAATCTTCTCCATTGTCGTTCTGGAGGATGTGATGGATCTATCAGGACGTCGGAGGGCAGTCATCTTGGTCTTGTAGTTGGCGAAGGACAGGCGGGCGTTACGAATACTTTTCCCGGCTTCTGCCGCATCTACCAGTACTTCTGCTCTTCTCTCTTTGAGGTCTTCCTTGATCGCATCTCTGCACTGCTTTGCGAGCTCGCACGGTAGCTTGCGGTTGCCTGAGCATGCGCCAAACCACACTGGCGAATTAGCTCAAGAGTTTTCGAAGATAGGCAATTTTTTGTGGCTATCTCTCTCTTGGTGTTCCTCGCACATTCATGGCGGTGCTGAACCAGTCGATTGTATTCCTTGTCAATGTTGTCAACAATGGCATCTTCCCATGTTGCCGCAATAGTACCAAAGAGTTCCCAGTTGGTGGTAATTCTGGGAGTTCTCTTTTTGAACTTTGCAGCCCTTTCTCCCCGCTCTGTGAAGTAGAATTTTGCACGAAGGAGACGGTGGTCCGATTCCATTCGAAATTTTGGGACAACAGCGACATCAGTCAGGCAAAACCATCGATTGAATATGATGTGGTCTATTTTGTTGTGGAATCGTCCACCGGGAGACTCCCATGTCCATCGTTTAGATTCTGCCTTCTGGAACTGTGAGTTACCATGAATGGTCTTGGTCGACATGATGAACTCAGACAGTCTCTCACCCTGTTCGTTCCATTCTAGGCCATGGGTCCCGATGTGAAGTTCTTCAGCTGATCTTCTCGGTCCTATCTTGGCATTAAAATCACCCACAATGATCTTGTAGAAGGTGTGGTCTTCTTTATAGAACTTCTCTAGCTCCATGTAGAACTTCTCGATTTCTCTTTCATTATAATGAGATGTTGAACGAAGATAGAAACTGCAGGCAGTGAGCCATATCTATTCAAATGTAAATGTCCAATTTGGGTTGTTAGGCATTCGAATGAATCAATGCTCTTGGCCAAGTTTGTGTTGACAAGGACACTGACGCCTCCAACACCTCTTTTATCGCATGTTCCGAGGAACAATTCTTCTCCAGTGTCGAAAACGGCATGGTGAGATTCATGCCTTCTTGTCTCAGTCAGACCAATGATGTCATACTTGATCATTCGCGCTTGTACCATCAGGTCCTCGATGGATGCATCTGATGCTAGCGTATGTGCATTGAAAGTACAGACGATCATTTTTGTCTTCCTTCGCTGTGGCAGCCTAGGTCGGCCTTGAGATTTTGTCAGCCTCTCCTTTCTCATCCTTCTCAGTGCTGCCATGTCGGTGAAGCCTTCAGGGTCAGGTGAATGAGACCAGTTGTAGTTACTGGTTTTGGCATATCGAATACATGAGCCATATGGCAGTACAAAACTTCTTCACATCTCATGTTAGTCATCATAACAGATTACGTCTTCACCATCAAAAATTACATACTGAAATAACTGTCTATAAAAATAATGTTTCAGAGAAAGGAAAATAATTATCAAGCAAGAATCACACCAACAACCTATCAGTTTACAGAATCTGGTTTGTTATCATAGAGTAATGGAAGGGATGCCCAGTGTTCTGGTGAACTCCTTTCCAGCCTGGTTTTTCCTCACATCTCCATAAATCTCTGACAAATGGAAGGGACACTTTTGAGTTTTTAACCTGTCCTCTACATTACGAATATTTTTAGTATCCCTTCCTCGAAATGCTCAACCTGTATTCACAAGATATCACTCTCAGAGCCAGAAAGATAGTACATGAAGGAAGTTGATTGCTTGCATGTTGCAAACCCCAGCTCAATCCCCAGCACCACACACCTGAGGTCCCCTGAGTGCAGAGCCAGGAACGTCCCTGAATACAGTTGTCAATAGCCCTAAAACCACAAACAAAAACACCGAGATACCATTCTTCCCTTGTTCTTCTGTGGATTTACTGTCATCTTTCTCCCTGCCTAATCTCCTCCAATTCCCACTCCTTCAGCTACTGGTTCCCAAATGTATAATGTTAACCTCAGATTCTTCCCTAACTCCTATTCCACTAAGAAATAAACTAATCCCTGAGATTTTCTTAGTTAGGCTTAAGGTTCCTTCAATCTAATGAAAATATGCTTTTTAAAAAAAATACCTAAATTTGGTGTTTTTCTCTCCAAATTTATTGTCATGTCTGTATTCTATATATTGACAGTCTCACCGTCAACCTAATCACCCAAGTCATTCCCTAGTAGTTCTTGACTCAAAGCCTTTTCTAGATGAGCAGAGTAGTTAAGAACAGACAGACATTTTATTACCTTGGCTCTATTTCTACCATATCCACTATTTCTACTACAATTTATACTATTTCAACCTATTTCTACAACTCTCTAGTTTTAAGGCCTTGAGTGATACTTCACCTTTGGTGCTTCAATTTTCTCATCAGAGAGCAAATGCTATCAAATCATCTACATGTTTAACACATATAAAGTTCTTTTACAATGACTGGGGATAAAGCACTAAAAATATTGTTCTCAGTTATTATTGTCACAGCTAATCAATATCAGATATAAATATGTCATATTTATTTCATGAGTATAATTTTAAGATCAACTCTTCTCTATATCTCTGATTATACTTTTATGTTCTTAGCAACTCTGAAAGATTATTAGGCAATATTTTATCAATATTTAATAGGTTATACAGGGCTATGGGAGAATTCATTTAAAAAATGTCAAATATTTCAATATAATTGCATCTTTAATGTACACATTTTTATAGTAGTTGCTTTTTTAAGTAATATTGAAAATTTTATAATTAACCTTTGTAGATTTATCCATTTCTTCACCTAGTCAACAGATATTTACAATGCTCTGGGAACTGTTCTAGGTACCAGGGCAAGAGCTCACACAAAAACTATTCAAATCCTAGTCCTCATAAAGTTTTCATCCTAATTAAAGTAGATTAAAGAAAATAGTATGGAACCTATATCATCTTATGATAAGCACTATGGAGAAAATATAAAGCAAGAGGTTGGACAGATTTATCAAACTCCTGACAACCATGTATGAAATTATTCCCCTGCAGAATGATTATGCTACTTTCACTACACCTTAAAAATTTTCCCAAAATTGGAGATCCCACGTATGCATTTACCCAGGCAACTTTGATTTGGAAAAGAAGGGGTTTATACAGCTCATAAGCTAATCCACTTTGTTACCATACTAATAAGGACTATGGTTATAGCTTCTATGGCCTTGACAAGTCTTTGCCTTTTATATTTTAGGAGGTCATAAATGTTGAATGAGGGCACGTTTCAGGTCCACGACTTACTGCCACCTCTGCCTTTCCTGAACTCCCAAAATAGCTAACCGTTCATTTTACAGGGCTTCAGTGCTTTGAAATAGGCGCTCCCAGGTGGTTGCTATAACTCATTTCAACCTGGCCGAACAGGCGTGAATAAGCCTTTTTACTGTTAGTTTTATCTTCCCTTCAGTGCTTGGGAATACAGAATGATCTCTAAAAGTTTATGCTTTATTAACTTCATGAGCCATCAGAAAAACTCCTTCAGTATCATCAGGAAAATTTGGCACAGGTACCTTCAGTGTCCTAATGTGATTATCGGTCTCACTCTTTTCTTTCTTGAAGTGCTTCATCAGTTCCTGGATGTTTTGCTCATGTTTCATTTTCACACTCTGCAGTGATGTTGTGAGATCTTCCAGCTCCCTCTGGTGAACATCTCGCTCTAGCTTTAGTTGTGTGATGATTGTAGCTGTTTCTTCATCGGTGGATTTTGTCTGTGTCTTGAGATCAGAGAGGTTCTTAAGCGCTTCTTTCCTGGCTCTCTGCTCCTCAGCCAATTTACTAGCAAGATCTGCTCGGATAGCACTCAAGTCCTTGACGGATTCCTGCATCTCAAGAAGCTGAGCTCTGTCCTTGGCTTGGCTTTTCCTTAGCTCTGCAATTTCCTCCTCCAGGTGAGTTTTCTCAGCTTTCATCTGACTTTGAGTCTTAGTCTGCATTTTCAATTCGGTCTCTAGCCTACGAATGGTGTCCATGGATTCCTTGACTTCTAGTTCAAGATCAGCTTGACGAGCCTGACTATTACTTAGCTTATCTTCTTTAGAATGAAGTTCCTCCTCTTGATGGGCACGTTTGGTTAAGACTTCATTCAATTCCTTTCGAAGGTTCTCCATTTGTTGCAATGCTGCAAAAAGCTGATTTCTCAATTCATCCTTCTCTTTTGAAATCTATCAGGGTAAGAACATGAAGAAAAATATATTATGCCAAGATTTACCAGACACTGCCAGAAAATAAAACAAATTTGCATCTATAAGAAGAATAAAAAGTCATTAAATAATATCTTGTATTTTTCCAATTTTTTCATATTTCACTTTTTTGTGAAAAGATCAGTTCTACTGAAACATACTTAGAAACATGTAGCACTGTAGTAGCACTATCCTCCTGCTGTTCATTGATTTCCTTGAGCGGGCACCAGTAACGTCTCCACTGTGAGATTTGTTGTTACTGTTTTTTGGCATATTGAATATGCCACGGGGAGCTTGCCAGGCTCTGCCATGCAGGCAGGATACTCTTGGTAGCTTTCCAGGCTCCCCGAGAGGGTCGGAGGAATCGAACCTGGGTTGGCCGCGTGCAAGGCAAATGCCCTATCCACTGTGCTATCGCTCCAGCCAGAAAGATGTAATGGGAGAAAAATAGAAAAAGTATCTGTTTGAGAGAATGCATCTTCTCCAGAGTGAAAAAAAAAGCAAGCAAATGAAATATGTGTTCAAGAGAGAGCACAAGCTTAAAGAGTAAGCCTTTCCATTTTTTTTTAATGAGTAATAGTTTAGAAATGAGAAATAGTCTAGAAATGGAAAGACAACTACAATTATCCTGAGATGGTGTCATTGCAATATATACTTCAGACTTGCATTACCAAAACATATTAATCCTTGATCATTAAAAATGAATATAAAATAAAACTGAGCAAAAGATTGAAGACTCCTACTATAATTTACCAAAGGTGACATAATACATATCAGCATTACTTAACAGTGGTTTGCATTTCAAGAGTACAAATTTTAAAAGACAAAGCACCAAAACAGATATGTGAGATAATATAAGAAACCATACAGATATAATCTCATGGTAAATCAGTTATTAATGTCAAAAGAGACAAGAAACATTCTATTATGAAACTGAGTCTTGAAGCAGCCTCCAAAAAAAGTCATGAGATTAAAGTTAGGAGAGCTTAGGAAGGAAATCAAGAGTACAAAAGCAAGACCAAATGTCCAGCGCCCTCTTCAGGAGGTTAGGTTTAAAAGGAGTGACAGAGATGGGTCGGCTACCCAGTGGTTTTTAGCCTCCAATCCTCGCACCATTGCCAGTCTGCAGAAATCTTTTACTGTTCTGAAAAAGTCTGCTCCATTGAATACATGGAACTCCTGAGTTTCTGGATTGGGTGACTTTTTTTTTCTGCTTTAGTGGTTGATAAAACATTGCTCCTATTTTCATCTCATAGAGATAAAGTCTTAAACCCTCATCATTTGTCAATAAAAATGAAAAAGTCATGGGGCTGGAGTGATAGCACAGAGAGTAGGGTGTTTGCCTTGCACACGACTGACCTGGGTTCAATTCCTAGCTTCCCCTATGGTACCCTGAGCCCTGCCAGGAGTAATTCCTGAGTGCAGAGCCAGGAGTAATACCTGTGTATCGACAGGTGTGACCCAAAAAATAGAAAAAAAAAAGAAAAATCAGAATTTAAGAAAGCTGAAATTTTTTTTCTCCCCTATCAATGGTATAAAGGATGTTCTCTGTGACTGTTTTCTGGTAAGCACAAGGCCTAACTCCCGGGACTGGTGTGGGGGGAGAGGGGGAGTAAAATTCTCATTTGAAAATTAGAAATAATGTGCAAAATACTATATTGCATGGCATTTTTACACTTGATATTTTATACTTCTTTGGGAAACAATTCATATTATAATGAGTCAATCACTCCTCAAAATAGTTTCCACAAATGCCTCTGACTTTTAACAAGAAGAAACAGCATGAAACTAACCTGAGACATAATAAAAGGAGGTCATTAAACAGCTGCGTTCATACCAAAGAGGACTGAATTTAATTCTCAGTCCAGTCATGAGCAGCTTTATGACCTTTAGGAAAGTCTTTATCCTTAAGTAAATAATAGATATTTTCCAGGGTTGAACTAAAGATTCACGGAAAAGGGAAAACCAAATAGAAACTAAGACTTAAGGATGGTATTTCAGAGGGATAGTGATCAAAAGTGTGGAAAGAAGGTATAACTGATAAAGTAACTGTACTGGAAATTGTAGAACACAGAGGAAACCCACTTGGAAAGACTGAAAGGAAAAAAAGTCAATATAGATAGCCTAAAGGTAAATGTATTATGTTCCTATTATAGTATAACAAATTGCAACAAATTTAGCAGCTTAAAACAATACCGATTTATTGTTCCACTATTTTCATAGGTAATAAATCCAAGCAAGATATGCTGATTAGGGTCTCCAAAAGCTAAAATAAAGCTACCGAGGGCCCCAGGATCTTATCCAAAAAGTTTGGGGGTAAACATAGTACCAAGTTCATTCATGCGTTAGCAAAGTTTAATACCATTCCATCATGACTTGGGGCTCTTTTTCTTTACTAGCATTTGGCCAGGAATGTTTTGAGCACCTACAGGCCACCCGCACTCCCTGGCTCATGGACTCCTCCAAAGCCAAAAATAGCACACTGAGTCCTCCAGAATTTGGAATTTTCTAGCATCTCTTTCTCCTCACAGCTTGAATATTTTTTCTGCTATTTAGGACTCCTGTGACTATATTAGGTCCATCCAGACCACCTGCTTATCTTAAGGTCAACTGTACTAATACTACATATCAAACATCAAAAGGAGAGAAATACCTCTACTTTGTATTCACGTAATCCTGGGGATTAGGGTGAGACACCTTCGGGAAATACTGACATAATACATATCAGCATTACTTAACAGTGTTTATCAGCATTACTTAACAGGGTTTATCAAACTAGCACTGTAGCACTGTTCTCCAGTTGTTCATAGATTTGCTCGAGCAGGCCCAGTAACATCTCCATTGTGATACTTGTTGTTACTGTGTTTAGCATATCAAATACGTCACAGGTAGCTTGACAGGCTTTGCCATGCCTGCGAGATACTCTCGATAGCTTGCCGGGCTCCCCGAGAGGGGTGGAGGAATCGAAACTCGGGTCTGCTAGATTGGCCTCGTGCAAGGCAAACGCCCCACCCGCTGTGCTCAAAAGTCAAAATCTGCCAGATCCAACTCTTGCTGTAATAAAGAGGCCTGAGAATAAAGAGATGTCATGTGAATATAAAAAGTAATATTTTTAACAGATAATAGTTTGCTAATCAGAAATTAAGAGGCATACAGACAGCCCTACAGATAAGCATCATACTTTTTTTCTGCATGAAATTTGATGAGTCAAAAAAATCTGAATACATAATACTATAAGTATCTTCCTATAATTGGTTTCAGTGGAAAGAGTATCTACGTTTTCATAGATGTCAATAGTTTGAAATGAAGATGGGATAGTTCAAGAAGGAGTGCATCAAAACTCTGGTTCTGCTCTTCTATAGTTCTTTAGACTTTGCTCTCCTGTTCGGTGTTCCAAACATCACATGGATTCATTACATGGCAGAAAGGCTTAAGGTTACAGACTACACTGGTCAAGTTTGAAATTTCTTTGGCAATGTGGATCTTAAAATGGAAGTAAGTTTTGTGTGTTTGCTTTTGGCTAGTTGCTTGGCTAGCAGTTGCAGCCCAAGATTATGTCTAGACATTGTCTCTGAGTCTGAAAATGTTGATGATTTAACCACCTTTAACATCTCAAAATGCTAGAGATTCCCATTGGCCTTCAGTTGAATAGCCTTTATCTTAAGGGAATTTAAAACAATAGAAATGAGTCCCCTTTGGCCATGAATACACAGGTAGAAATAGTTAAAAGGGGCCTAAGAGGTTGGGGTGTAGGGGGAAAGTTGTGGGTTCTTTTGTTGTTTTTGTTTTTCTCTCTCTTTTTTTTATGGTTAAGTTTTGACCTCCTTCTTTCTTGGACAAATCAAATGGAAAGATAATTTATTTTTTCCAACCATAAATGATTCCAAATTATAAGACTCAGTAATTTTGAATTACTAGTTAAAGAATTTAATCCCCTTCCCACCCCCACCAAATAAAAATAAATATTTTGCTCTCTATTTCTGAACAAACCAGCTCCAACTTATATTCATCTTTCTTCTATAAGACCTTTCTGAAAGCTAATAGCTACTTAATACCATACTTACAAGTTACTTAATACCATACTTTCAATTGCCACATTAGTGGCCCAGAATATGAGTTCTTATAATTCAACTGTCAGTTTCAATAGCACTGTAGCATTGTCCTCCTGTTGTTTATTGATTTGCTAGAGAGGACCAATTAATGTCTCCATTGTGAGACTTGTTGTTACTGTATTTTGGCATATAGAATACATCACAGGGTAACTTGCCAGACTTTGCTGTAGCTTGCTGGGTTCTCCGAGAGGGGCAGAGGAATTGAACCTGGCTCGACTGGGCGAGCCGCGTGCAAGGCAAACGCCCTACCACTGTGCTATCGCTCCAGCCCTGTCAGTTTCAATACTATAATAAAATTTGCATACGTTCCCCTTAGAAAACTATGCTTCCTTATTCTACCCTATGTAATCAATTCAACATTTTTCGGAACTCTTACTTTTAGTTATGTACTTAAAAAAATTTAAGTGCCACATTAAGCTTGAATTTCTTCTCTGAAAACTGAAAGAAAAACTTCAAACTGGAGTAATCACAAGGTCATTGATTATTACTATAGACAGAACTATTGTATACACAATATGTCAAAGCTCTAGGCTTACCCCCTTCCTGCAGTTCTCTCAGTAATACTCTGTATAAGACCTCATAGACCATACCAAGACTATTTCAGCAATTTCAGAATCACAGTCAAATAAAACAATTACTAGGAATGAAAAAAATTCTTACTTCTTATGGATCTTCTTTAGGAGTGGGTATATTATTACCAGAAATTCCTCAATACGTCCCTTTTTTTTTGTAGATTTAAGAAGAATTATGTGCCTACCCACTGGCTTAATTTAAGCTTTCATAAATTTGTAAAAGACTGGGGATATCTTGATATAATCAAGATTGCTGTAGCAGCCAACTGGTATCTCTATGTATATTTTGTTAATAGTG